ATGTTAACGGACGACGGACGACGACGGATAGCAAAAGGTCACTTGAGCTAAAGCTTAGGCCCCGCTTGCACGAAACTTCTTAACTCCGTTCTCAATGCTTAACTCTGAGTATATGCTTAACTTAAAGCATATGCTCAACTTTTGACTATCTACAAAATGCTTAATTCTCAATTCTTAGATTTTAAGCTGAGAGTGGGCCAATATTTGAGAACGGTCCCTAGCATGCTTAAGTCTCATTCTTAAATATGGCGGACATAAATCGAGCACTTCATCGTACGCTTCAGAGAACTGTGTCAAGTTGAGTGAATTTTATTCAGAAGCAAAGCTGGTATCATTAACATACTTTCATGGTAGGCCTAATCAATGATGCATGTGGACCACTCAAAGACATACAGAGGCTGGTCCTTTCTGTTTTCACATCTGACAGCTGTGCTGTGTGCGACAAGACGAAGGTTTTCGTCACACGTCATACATTCGAGACACACTCTGGTCGCTACTGAGCTCGGCATTCCAACTCCACATCGAATGTCGATGTGTGCTGTTACCGCCAACTTTAAATATTTGCAACATGACAAACACTTACTAAATAACGAGTTATAAATTCTATGCACTCGCAGTTCCGTCACCACAAACTTTCATAACGTAAACGACTGTCAAGGCCCCCTATCGGCGACCTCTATTCGTAGTACTAAATACTGTATGGGACTCAATGTGTCCGCCTGCTCACCATCATTCGCCATGACTTCGTATGAAGCGGTATTATAAATCCAGTCTGCTTTGGTCAATTGTAATACCACAATCCGAGATATTCCCAAAACGTGATACATAATTATCAATAGGCAATGTAGATTGTAGGTCTCTATTTCATGATATTCATATTTATTTTTATTAATACAAAGTCACTGAATTTTTTAATGTAGAGCACAAATTTAATTAAATCTCAGTTACACAAGACTTTACAAAGAACACGATATATCTAATTTTATGAGAGAAACTGTTTCTATCAATATAATGCAAATTAAAAGTTTGCTATAATGCCCTTGGGCAAATTAAAAGTCTGCTGTTGAACACTATAGGCTTTTAATTTGCCAAAGGGCATATCTCTTATTTCTTCATTTTCAAACAGTGATTGTGAGTTTTGAGACTTGCTTTTTAATTTAAAAATAATCTATCAAGATGTTTTAACTTTGAAAATTGCTAACTAGTATTTTAAAGCTAAAAAAATATCGATTATTTGATAAAAAAAAAAAATGATAAAAAATGATAATTTTCATTATCTTAATATTTACATTTTTTTTAAATTTCTTTTGGGGTTGGGTGTTAAGTGTAATTAGATAGTCATGTTTTCACATTCAATATATTTGTGTGTGCTGTTTAAATTTTAGAGATAAACTAACTAAGAGCCCTATATATTGTCTTTATTATTTTCTTATTAAGTCAAATTTATTCAGATATTCCTCCTTGTTGGTGGTACATGCATGTTCAGGGATCCATATCAAATATTGATTTTAGTTTATAAAAATGACACAAACAAAATTTTCAGTTAGACTGTATTCAGACTTTTTTTAATAATCTCAGACATTAACAAAAGTATCTATTCTTGTAAACTTCCAAAATGAGACAGTCTTATAACCCGACACTCACTGATCAGCAGTGTATGTACAACACTATCTACTGATGACATGTGTTCAGTTACAAACTGTGGCAGAGGATGCTGAGGGTTTCTGAAGGTCAAATACCTGAAAAATATTAAATAGGAAAAGTTAAAGGTCATATAATGGTCTATCTGTATGTGATATAGAAATGGATATATTTGTCATACTAATTACAACTAGACACTAATGAAATTGGTGACCACATTGCTACACATTTTGAAATTAGTATTTTTAGTGATATATAACAGGTGTCCCACGATACATATAGCAGGTGCCATACTGTCCATGTAATTTACAGGTGCCCCTCTGTACATAAAAGGGTCTGTTTTGTACATGCATCTAACAGGTGCCCCTCTGTACATGAATTTAACTGAACCTGTATGAAGATCTGGGAACAGGGTTATTTTGAGAAACAACTTAAGGTGGTTAACATCAATTTGTCAAATCACATCTGAGCCATACTCATAAATCTTAAGAACGAAAAATTAATGTATAAAATGTATAAATAAAATTTCATTCTTCATTGTACTTCTTTAGATGACAGTTCTGCTTATACAGTTTATAAAGGGAAGTAATCTATATAATGTATGAATATAAATATAAGCATATTTTTTACAATACATATTTTGTAAAACTATGTATAAAATGTATTCATCGCTAAAATTATAGTGTGATAAAATCATTCTGCAAAATGCGGAACTGATTATATTACAAAAGGTCAAAATAAAACTAAAACTCTTTTGGATTGATGTATTTAGGGCAAGGAGAAAAATTGAGGAGAAAAATTAAGGAAAAATATGCACTTCTGGTACAATAATAAGATTACAACAGGAAATATAAGTATATTTTACAGAGAATGGTACAATAAAGGAATAATGGTAATTAATGATCTAATCAGAGACAGAAGTACTAATGCAATTTACACATTTCAAGAGTTCAAACAGATTTATGATATTAATACAAACTTGTTTTATGATACATGTACCAGGGTCTAATACCTGCATTAGAGAGTATATTGTACAACAACATATGTCAAATGTAGAGGTAAGCTATCCATTTATACCAATAAATATAGAAAAGTTTTTTAAAAATAAAACAGGGATAACAGATTTTTATAGCTTATTTTGTAAAAATGATACTACATGTATTTCAACAGGTAAAGAAATGGGATGATATATTTCAATTTGATGATGAAATTTGGAAACAAAATTAAAGATTACCAAATTACAGTGGCATAAGTGCAGAGTTAATCAGCATATTTTGACAACTATCAGGTAATGCATATTTGATTCAAGTAGGCACATATAGTACATAGCCCTTACTGTGAACTGTGTAACACAGAAATAGAGACAATATAGCATGTATTATGGCCTGGGGATGTGACAAAGTACTTTGAAAAAAAAGGAAATATTGAATAATGTGAAATTTACCAGTAGTGAAAATTCTTATTATATGATAGCAGTTTTACCTCTTTTGGCGGTAAATCTAACTTTACTACTGACTTATATTTCATATCATTTCATCATTTTACTGGTATATATGTGAATGTTGGTCACACCCCAACATCATTTTGTAAATGTCAATCCTTAGTCAAAAAGACAAACTTGGTTATGTGTACCTTTAAGCTTTGTCACAGCACAAAACCACAACATGTAACAGTTCATTTTGATTGAATCTCTGGGTCCACTCAGGTTAGAACCAATATAATAGGACAACTATATCTCTTACTTGAGCATATGAAGGGCATGGATATCATTTTCAAACAACTTTTAAGATTTTACTTTCCAAACTCCCTTGGAGTTTTATTGAGGCCAATTCAAATATCCAAGTTCACTTTGAGACTTTGTATGGAATTTGCTAGAAATGGTAGCAGTGGTAATAGTTGTCCTGCAACAGTGTATGATGTATCATATATAAAATTTCAAAATATATAATTTCATCATTGTCTGATTGGTCTTTATAAAAAATCAACTGCAACATAGGAAGATATGTAATTTGAATTTAAGTTTATTTTGGATTTAATCATAATCAGTCTATCACCAAATCATATTAAGTTAATTAATAATATTGTTGAAAACTAGAGCTAATCATTGTATACACTAGAATTGATCAAATTAGATGGCACAGATAAATATTGACGGACATATAATCTTCAACATAATTAAAATGCTTGTAGTCACTAATGTTTCAACATTAATGTCAATGTCTTCATTTAACATCCCTAGCACATTTAAAGTTGTAAGAGTGTGGTCTAGATCTTCTCAACACTAGTCAACATGCAAATAGAAAGAAAACCATTCTCCATGTGTTGGGCTTTTAAAGTTTTGTCTAGGTGGCTAACTATTTTAGCATGCGGATTACGGAACATTCGGTTTTTAACTTTAGTTATATGATACCTATATACATTTTTGACAAGCTCTAAGATGAAAGAAAACAAAAGTCCCATCATCGTGTTAATTTTGTTTTTGTGTCAATAAATCGGCGATATCAGACACGGTAAAAAGAACTGGTATTCGCAAAACGACACTGGCCAACCCGTCGTCCGTAATATTACACATGTGCCAAGGGACACAATCGGAACACAGGGGTTCGTTACAAATATGCTATACTGACTGGGTCACAGCACACGTAAACTGTGACCCATATCAGTATATCATATGTGTATTATTTAAAGACATTTGTAACGAACCCCTGTGATCGGAAACACACCGGAGATTTGATGACAAATTCACCGCTATTCTCCATGATCCAATTTCTGATGATCGACACGGCAGTTTTTATAAACAATGCATGTCTTCTTCCACTAACAATGCCTTGTCGTGTTACGTCTAATTGCATGCCCTCACCCCCTCTTTTTCGTTGAAAGCCTCTTTCCGACTTTCAACTGACGACAACCGCTGATAAGTTAAAACACCTGCTGCATATTGTCTTTTTTCTACCCGACTTTGACGTCTAGAATTTAAGGGTTTATAATCAACTCGCTGAGTATTTTCGTAAATAAGCGGACGATATATGCGTGCAATACACATGTATTTAAACATGAATATTAAAACAATGATACAAAACTCTTACCTCCAATTAGGTAAATCATCACACCAGTTTTCCCGTAGTTTTGTAACAAATTTTCCTTCTTTCGCGAAAGAGTTCCCTGCGAGGCCGCTTAGTTCACGAGAAATACGTTCTTAGTTGAGAACGTTCTCAAATATTTGAGAACGTGTTTGAGAAAGCCAATTTTGAGAACTTCTCAGCTAAGCACGTACTTAGTCTGAGAATTGAGAATTGAGAACTAAGAATTAAGAAGTTTCGTGCAAGTGGGGCCAGGTGACCTAAAAAAAGAACAATACATCAGTTTAACAATTTTTTAATAGATATATTACCCTTTACAAAGACAATTGTAGGCTATTAATGTACATGAGTTTACACAAAATATGACTATGTTGAGTCAGTTATGTTCAAGTGTATTCGGTGAAAACACCTATGAATGTGAGATTTGGTGTTATTTGGACTAAGATGCACTTCTTTCCTAGTCTACTATGATGAACTAATACAGTGTCTCCATAGTCAACTAGTTCAAAAACATGAATGCAGAGTGATTTTTCAGCATGCTCCTTTAACACGGGCATGGTAATGGCATTTTTCAAATTCTGACTCAGCTTAAAGGGGACAGTTTCCACTTTCCCCATTCCTGGTATAATTCCTACCAAGTTAATGTTCCCGAAATTATTTCGTATGTGGCGTGGTAGGTTCAACATGGTAAGCATGATTGGTGTCATAGAATATCTGGCGCCGATGTTGTGGAACGGATTTACACCATCCAAGAGCATAGGAAATACCTGAAATTGAAATCACTTTGTAATTTATTAAAATGCACTGACTTCAGTATGTGTATACACCGGTACCTATACCTATAACCCTATAATAAATTTAAAGAAAACATTGATTTGACACTTAATTACAGACAGTAATTATTAAGGAAATGTGACACGCAATTCAGAAATTAAAACTGTTTTAACTGTATCAGTTTCAAAATTTTGTGGGAATCCCTACTCATGATCATGCTGGTACAGTATTAAACATCCAAAGCCTAAACGATCCTTGACAATTTAATTAGTAGAACAAGAACATCTTATAATCATCATGGTCTAGCAGAGTGATTCAATGAATTGAAAAGCAAGTGTAATATTGACAAAAGATGATCGGGTATGTATTTTAATAAAAAAATATTTTGAGGAGCCTTCAAAAACTATATATTACAAAATGTATGTACCTGCAAGATCACCACTGAAGTACCCATCAGCAGAGTAAATCTCTTTCCACACTGGAGAGTGACGAATGTCCCCAATTTGTTCTTCATTAAATGAACTGCCAGGATGACTTTTTACCAGCTGTGCCAATATCTCTGAATGTCCTTGCAAGTCTGGGACCTATTGGTACATACACAAATGTTTTTCTTGGTGCTAGCCTTTTACCTGAAGATAAGTATCTGCCTTCATGACAAATAGGATATTCTGTAAGATCCCCATAAGAGTATTTTTCTTTGTTTCTGAAAATCACACTATCGTTAACACAGGCACTGAAAACCTTTTTCATAATAAATGGATCTACCATACGTCTCGCTTCATGGAAAGAAGAAGGAAGCATATATATTGTCTTTGTCATTGTGTATTATTTTCTGCATCTGAAGATTGTGTGTAAACTCTGCTTTGCTCATTGATGGATGGGACACAAACCTATGAAACTGATAGCACAGCCATTCAAGTTTAGTCATAGTATCAGAATTAGGAATTTTGTTGACTGCTAATTCTGAGTTGAATACAGTGAAGTCATAAGAACTACACCAGTCACAATTCATTTCCTTTTGGTTCTCATCTTCGGATTCACTGTAGGCCTCTGAATCATCCTGTTCAGGATCTGTCATCTCCTGATCAGATTCCGATTCACCTTCAGGATATGTTGTCTTCTGATCAGATTCTGATACAGATTGTTCTTGGGAAAATTCTGCTGTGAGTATATTGAACCCTGGTCTTCATGCCAATTGGCCATATCCTCTAGATCTTGGTCCAATTTATCATCAGAGCTCGTCTCTGAATCTGATCTGAAATACATAATTTGTATGATATACTGAACACGCCAATTACCAATAAATTATCATCTACCATATTTATCCTTCAATAAGCCCAAGGAGCAAGTGTAAAATATGGGGTGGTCTAATTGCAGACATATATATATTACACGTGCGCACTACATGTATATATAGGGAAATTAATTTAAAAATTATGAAATTCATAATGATATTGGGGGGGGGTTATTACCTGCAGGCATGGGCTTATTGCGGATGGAACTATTGTTTATTGAAGACCAAATTCAGAATTGTTTCAAGCTTGGTTTACAATGTTTAACATCCTTAGTCAATAGACGGGTAGTTTGTGGATGTCAAGCCATTTCTAAATATGAGACTAGTGTATTTTGAAGTTTGTTTAATGACATCAGTTAGTCACTGACACAGCGGGACACCTGAACAGGAAAGATCATGAACTTTCACACAACAAGAGGCCCAAGAGGGCCTGTATCGCTCACCTGAATATTTAAGCAGTCATAGTAAAATATTCTCATTAAATATTATATTCCACTAAAAATATTTCCCTCGCAAACTTTGTTGGCTTCATCTGTTAAAACTACCAGCAAAATATTATTATCAGATTCTATGCTTTTTGATTCTTCTTCAGAAGTTGCTTGACATATTTTTCCCTGTGACCTTGTAAGTAGGTCAATGTCATTTTCCTTTTCCAATTGGTTAGCTCTATTCCTTAAAGCTACTATATTATATATTATAATTGTATGCCTTTTAATTCTTCAGAAGAAGTAGTTTGAACTATTTGACATATTTGATTGCTGTGACCTTGAAAGTAAGTCAAGGTCATTCACAAACTTTGGTTGGCTCTTCCCAGGAAGCCACCAGCCAAATATAAAGATTCTATACCTTTCAGTTCTTCAGGAGAAGTCGTTGGAAGCATTTGACATATTTGACCCCTGTGACCTTGAAAGTACGTCAAACTAATTTTCATTTTCAAACTTTGTTGGGCTCCATCCCAGGAAGCCACCAGCCAAATATAAAGATTCTATACCTTTCAGTTCTTTAGGAGAAGTCGTTGGAAGCATTTGACATATTTGACCCCTGTGACCTTGAAAGTACGTCAAACTAATTTTCATTTTCAAACTTTGTTGGGCTCCATCCCAGGAAGCCACCAGCAAAATATAAAGATTCTATACCTTTCAGTTCTTTAGAAGAAGTCGTTTGAAGTTTTTGACATATTTGACCCCTGTGACCTTGAAAGTAGGTCAAACTAATTTTCATTTTCAAACTTTGTTGAGCACTATCCCAGGAAGCTACCAGGAAAATAAAAAGATTCTATACCTTTCAGTTCTTAGAAGAGGTCGTTTGAAGTGTTTGAAACATTTGACCCCTGTGACCTTGAAAGTAGGTCATGGTCATTTTCATTCTCAAACTTTGTTAAGCTCCATTCCAGGAAGCCATCATCCAAATATGAAGATTCTATACCTTTTAGTTCTTCAGAAGAAGTCGTTTGAAGTTTTTGACATATTTGACCCCTGTGACCTTGAAAGAAGGTCAAGGTCATTTTCGTTCTCAAACTTTGTAGGGCTCCTACCAACAAAGCTTTCAGCCAAATATCATGACTCTAGGCCTGTCCGTTCTTCAGAAGAAGTTGTTTAAAGGAAAAGTTGACGGATGAGGACGGACGGACGGACGGACGGACGGACGACGGACGCCGCACCATGACATAAGCTCACTTGCCCTTCAGGCAGGTGAGCTAAAAACTGAAAGCAAGATGAGATCTTTCAGATCAGAGAGTTCTATATGAGGTAATTGGCAAGATAGCTAATTATCTCAAGGCCTCAATTAATATTTACTAAAGAAATTGTTGTCCATTGTTTACCAGTAAACAAGAGGCCCCAGAGGGCCTGTATCGCTCTCCTGAATATTTAAGCAGTCATAGCAAAATATTCTCATTAAATATTATATTGCACTAAAACTATTTTCCTCGCAAACTTTGTTGGCTCCATCTGTTGAAACTACCAGCAAAATATTATTATAAGATTCTATGCTTTTTGATTCTTCTTCAGAAGTTGCTTGACATACTTTTCCCTGTGATCTTGTAAGTAGGTCAATGTCATTTCCTTCTCAAATTGGTTAGCTCTATTCCAAAAAGCTACCAGCAAAATCTTGTGATTCCATTCCTTTAAGTTCTCAAGAACAAATCCATTAAAATGTTATTGACCTCTGTGACCTCTAAAGTAGGTTGAGGTCATTTTCATTTGCAAACTTTGGTGAGCTCTATCCCGGGAAGTCACCAGCCAAATATTATAATTTTATGCCTTTTAATTCTTCAGAAGAAGCTGTTTGAACTGTTTGACATATTTGAACGCTGTGACCTTGAAAGTAGGTCAAGGTCATTTTCATTCGCAAACTTTGTTTGGCTCTTTCCCAGGAAGCCACCTGCCAAATATTAAGATTTTATAACTACCAGTTCTTCAGAAGAAGT